GGCCCTCACTGGGCCTCGGAGCCTTCAAGAAATGAGTCGGGATGAAAACCGGTCCCTGGGAATGAATCGAGACCTCCAGGTCGACGTGGAAAAAAGCGGGACGTCGGGGGTCTGAGATCGAGGCACTCACAGGACCCTGGGATCTGGGCGCCTCAGCTTCTTCGAGCTGGCCGTTTTCAGTAGGTTTCGGGCCCCGGGCACATCACAGATCGATCTGGCTAGAAAATGCAGCAGAAAGATGGGGTCTACGGTTCTGGCGGTGACTTTCTACGATGTTTCAGCTTTTTCGCGCCGACGGAGGCTTCGGGCTGAGCACAGACAGCCCCCCAAGGCAGCCCCGGCTGGCCTCAACAAACTCCGGCCTCCCGAGTAGTCCGGGGCGGTCACGGCACCCCGGCGCCGCCTCCAGTGCCGCCCCAGACTTCTCGTGAGGCCTATTGAGGCCAGATGGGGCTACCTGGGCGGGCTACCTGCTCGCAGCCCGAAGCCTCACCAAGCGAGGCCTGCTGCTGGAACCGCCTGGCTGAGCCGGCTCGGGCAGTGGAAGACAACTCCCTCCCTTCTCTCGGTCACACGCAAGAATGACCCTGGGTAAAAGTGACCTTTGGTGTGACCAAAGGTCACTCCCGCGAAGGGGTCACTCTTACGTCCAATTGATTCTCCCGGACGCACGAGCAGGCAAGGCCTGGGACAACACCGGTCCGGGACAAAGCTCTGAGATCCAGAGGTGCCGGAGCGGGATGGCCCCGAGAAACGCTGCGGGAGCGTTGCAGAAGAGCTCTGGGGCGACTTTTATCCCGGACCTTGGCCCGCCCAACGACGCCTCTCCTTCGCCCTCGACCTTATGATGCTCCAACCTACTTTAACTTTGGTCGCCAGAAATGAAATCTCGAGCACCAGGAACAGGTACCGAAATTTGAGGGGTTGCACGTGTCGGGCCCTGGGAGGCGGTACTCGTTCGACACTGTTTCGACACTTTTCTGGGTGCTCGGAATGATTTCTGGGATGTGGTCCTGAAGTACGACGGGAGCAACGTAACCTCAACCTCCCTCCCCACTTCTCGGCCCCCCATCCCCGCATGGCAGAGCCGATGGCAGCGAGCTCCTCCCAAGAGAAGCCGACGGCGCGTGGGCCAACGCGGCGCGCTGGCGAGGCCCGCCGACGGGGGCCGAGAACGGAGGCGACCGCAGCGAACCCATCGAGCGGGCCTCGCGATCACTGCGGGGGCAGCACGACGGTGACCGAAGATGGGCAGCACGGCGGGGACCGAGGATGGTCCGATTGGGACTGCTGGGCCGTGGGCCAAGCCCGGCAGGCCCACACAGTCCGCGGGCATCGCGCACCCACACACACACACACACACCGACACACACAGTTTGGGCGGTCGCGGCCTCGCGAGCAGCGTCGAGGCGGAATGAAGCCGGAGGCGGTGCGCACGCGGCCAGGCGCCGATGCACACACACAAACACAGACACATACACACAAACACACACATGAACACACACACACACACACACACACACACACTGACACACCGACACACCGATGCACCGACACACACTCTGTTTGGCCGTCGCGGCCACGCGCGCGGCGGCGTGGCGTAGAACAGGTGGAAAAAGCGCGGGCACTGGCACGGCTCTCGCAGCGGGGAGGCGGGGAGACGCTGGATTGATCTACCCACAACGGATAGACAACGACATCCACGGGGGGAAATACCGTGGGAGGACAAACGGGGCAGAATGAGGCAGAGAGGGAAAAAAGGGGAACAAGGAAAGACCAGAACAGCACGACCGTGCCGGGCAGAAGAAGCAGACGGGGCGCAGCAGGGAAGCGGCAACGGCAGCCACCCAGCCCAAGATGGAGGACCAAGACAGCGTGGGAACCTGGGTCCACCAGCAAACAGAGACACACACACACACGCACGCACGCACGCACGCACGCACCCACGCACACACACACACACGCATACATACACACAACACACAACACACAACAGATGCACAAACACATTAGCACACGCAACAATACTTGTTTTCCGTCGCCACGCGGCAGAGGCAATCCGCACGCACGCCCTAGTGGCCTGGGGCATGACGTACTAATTGTTCGGCGGCACGTGGGGGGAAGGAGGGAGAGTGTGGAAGCGGAAAGCGGGCAGCGCCGCACAAAGCGTTTCGGAAGGAGTGGCCTGGGCGGCCAGCCGTTGCTGAGGCGACCTGGCAGTGGACGTGCAGCGGCATCGCGCCCACACCCCGGGGCTGAAGCAAAGGCTGCAGGCACTGAAAGCGTAGACGAACCAGTACCAGAGGGAAGCGGCGAGCGAGCCCACAGAAGCGGGCAGCATCCGGGTGTTCGTCCGGAGTCCGTGGGTGACAGGCATTGCTGCGGTACGGCGCCAGCGGGATGCGGGAAGGCAAGGCGACCACGGGGGATGGGCCAGCGACCAGTTAGCTACAGCAAAATGCTGCTACACTGCCGCGCTGAGCTGCTGAGAGCAGAGCTGCAGGACTGCCGACTGCAAAGTTGCCGAGGGCTTCGAATCCAAGCTGCAATGCTGCCAGGGGCTGCTGAACTGTAAAGCACCAACTACTGAAGTGGCGCAGCGCGGCGAGGAGCCGCCAGCCTTCGCAAGGGACGCCCTGGCGGCGGCAAGACGGCGAGAAGCGGGAAAGGGGAGAGCCGAACCCTGCCGGCGCGCGCATCACAGCCAGGAGTGGCGGGGACGCCTGGCCACAAGGCTGGCGACGCAGCAACACACACACACTTTTGGTCTGCGGGGCGAGAGCGAACCTCTCCCGCTAAAACAACCACAACAACAACAACAACAACAACAACAACAGCATCAACAACAACAACAACAACAACGACGACAACAACAACAACAACAACAACAACAACAACAACAACAACAACAACAACAGCAACAACAACAACAACAACAACAATCATTTAAGACTGGGGACACTCCGTTCTCACCAGTGCCAGGGTTTTCATAGGAGGCGGGCAATACCCCCACTTTGTGGGGGGGCCGGTTCAAGCTCTACCAAGTTTCCAAACGACTCTTCGCCACCACCCACACCCAGCTTCCCGCCCTATGACGTTCGGACACTTCACTTCGTGGCCTGCGGACGACCTTGGCTACTACACTGGCGCATGGTTACAATGACTTCTTGTGGTAACATCTTGTGGAAACTAGCTTAGTATACGACTTATACCCCTGTTCCAACAATGGGCACGTGTACCGTTTTCCGACGTTTTAACGTTTCTGTACCACACAAGCCAAGACCCTTATTTTGACTGGTATCACGTGCGTGGCGCCAGCATACCACAGGACTTGTTTCCGTTGTTGTGAGACGATATATGCTCATTCTTGTTCTGTGGTTCTCGTTCCGGCCTCAATGTGCAATACTGGCTCACTCGTCGACGAAATACACGTGACTACCTCTCTCTGGTTGGAGGTCCTGATGGTTGTGGTTGTCCCGATAATTGTCGCGATGAGTGTCCCGATGATTGTCCCGATTGTTGTTCCGATGGTTCTCCCGATGGTTGCCCCGATGGTGGTCCCGATCGTTGTCCCGATGGATGCCCCGATGGTTGTCCCGATGGTTGTCCTGATGGTTGTGGTTGTCCCGATCGTTGTCCCGATGGTTGTCCCCATGGTTGCCGCGATGGTTGTTCCGATGGTGGTCCCGATGGTTGTCCCCATGGGTGCCCCGCCGGAGGAGGAGGAGGAGGAGGGGCAGCAGGACAAGGCGAGGCGGACGCATACGTGCTCTGGAAGCATACTAAAGAGACGAGTCTGTGTGCTCATCGTCTTCTGGCATGCGCCTGTCCCTAATGGCACGCATCGGGCGCAATGCTGCAAGCTGCGCTCCTGGCACCCATACATCAGGGGCCAAGTGTCCCAGCATGGTGCCGATACGCCTCCTCGCGGACACATCGCCCGTGCGTCCGTGGGGCGCCAATACCGCCAGGACGCCCTGGACATGCGCCGGCATACCCAGATCCACACGGTAATCCATGACATTCCCATACTCGGACTGCCCGAAAGAACGCCATACAGGCATGTGCCACCAATGATCCTGCTTCGGGAACAAGGTGATACCATCCTTGACGTCGTGGGAGGCATTCCACAGAGCCATACATGGCGGCTCCATGCCCATGGATGCCGTGTGTGTTGCCACAAATACATCCAGGCTCGCCATGCGCCTGTATGACAGACCTGATACCACCTCGGAATGCACGTGAATACGCAGGAGCTGCAACAGCCTGCGCAAGCCAGCATACACCCAGCCGCCGGGTCGGACGAATACGTGCGAACTCCAGTTCGCTATACCAGCTTGGGTGCACAGCCGATTGAATACTTCCGCAAGTGTGCCCAGATACTGCGCGGCTGGATCTTTGAAACCATCAAAGTTGCAGAATACCAAGCCAGGGTAGAAGTATACAGCGAACGCCATCCACTCTGGGGTCTCGATGCCTCCCATACGCCGCTGGTTCTCGACCATGCCGTTCTCCTTTGAACGGCGCGTGCTCTCCGCGGTCGACACACACAGGCATACACCCGTGAGTCCCTGCCACATACGCGGAAAATACACTGCGGTCGCGAACCACGTGGTCTCGCGCAGCACCTTTCAGGAGAGAAAAAAGTACCAATACCACCAGCAATGGGGGTGGCCGCGCCTTCCCCTCGAGCTGGTGGCACCTCGTTCCAGGCACTCTCTGGAGGCATGCCCGGAAGGAACCACCAGCTCGAAGAGTGAGCGGCCACCCCCCTAGCTATGTGGTACTGTTGTCTCTCCTGAGCCTTGAGCCATTGGAATACCAATCCGTCCCCGCCGGGTGACACAGACCAGCGCCTCATACCCTCGGCCACCTCCTCGTTGGATGGGATATACTCCCCAGTCTGTTCGCCCCACTGCCCTGCCATTGCCAACAATACGGACGCGCGTGCAAATATGGAAAGATATACGAAAAGCAATATACGACTGGAGCCCAAATGGCTAAGGCACACACATAATGCTGTGGGAAAGTGCCAAAGTCCATACGAACGGAAACGAAGCACATACATGTGTCAAACTGATCAGACAACTCAATCTCACAAGCAGGTGAGGTTGATGGCGGCTCCTGTTTCAAAACAAGAGTTCCCGATGAGGCACTCTGGAGGGACCCAAGGGGGGGCGCCGTGAGAGGCGGGGCCCGAGGCCTCTGGGGGCTGGGGTGGGCCAGGGGGATAAGGTTGAGGGAGGCCTGTTTCAAAACGGGGTTCTCGCTTGAGTTCCCGATGGGGCGCTCTGGAGGGACCCGAGGAGAGGCGCCGTGAGAGGCGGGGCCCGAGGCCTCTAGGGGCTGGGGGGGACCAGAGAGGGCACGGAGGATTAGGTTGAGGGGGGCTCCTGTTTCAAAACAGTGCTCTCGCTTGAGTTCCCGATGGGGCGCACTGGAGGGACCCGAGGGGGGCGCCGTGAGAGGCGGGGCCCGCGGCCTCTAGGGGCTGGGGGGGACCAGAGAGGGAGGATGAGGTTGAGGGCGGCTCGTGTTTCAAAACGGGGTTCTCACACTGATAGGACAACTCACACTCACAAGCAGGTTAGTCAACATATTGTCACATTTCTGGATCAAATTTCAGACACATGCATTTGTTATATATGGTACATATTGCACATGATACATATGATAGACATGAGACAAAGACACACAACAGTTGGTCACATTTTTGGGACAAATTTCAGACTCATGCATTTGATATAGATGATACATATTGCCATTGATTTCCTGGACATGAGACTAAGACACACAACAGTTGGTCACATTGTTGGGGCAAATTTCGTACACATGCCTTTGTTATATATGATACATATTGCACATGATACATCTGATAGACCTAAGACAAAAACACACAACAGTTGATCACATTTTTGGTGCAAATTTCAGAAACACGCATTTGTCATACATGATGCATATTGCACATGATACGTATGATAGACATGGGATAAAGACACACAACAGTTGGTCACATTTTTGGGACAAATTTCGGCCTCATACATTCCTTATTGTGATACACATGGCACATGAATAGATTAGACATGAGACAAAGACACACAACAGTTGGTCACATTTGTGGGGCCAATTTCGGGGCCATTTGTGAGGACAACTGAAACTCACTAACAAGTTTGTGGGGCACATACACCCACAGACCAGGTGGTCTCATTATTTGGGACATTTTGTTTTGCCACTCCCGCGCACTTCATATATAAACTCCCGAGATGCAGAGACGCAATACCCTGGTCTAAATGCATGCAACCCCTGCCTCCCCAGTGTGCACGCACGACTCTGGAAAATTGCTCATATACCGTGCCATCAGGCAGTGCCGAAATCGTTGACGGCGGAGCCCTGTGAGCCCACCGCCTCCACGTCAATACCGTTGTGGCCCAACGCATGACGGACCTTCACAGCAGCCTGGAACTCTTGAAGTGATACCTCCTGCTGCTCTGGACCAGCTCCGTGAAAACTGTTCCCGTGATACCTGAAACAGGTGGCGGCCCTGTGGTGACACTGAGCCACGAATGCCAACCCCCCACAGCTTTGCCAATGGGCCATCATACGCACTCGCGAAAGTTTACCCTTGTCGAGCCACTCATACACTTTCTTCGCATGCTGGTCCAATGCCGGCTCAGTCTTCGTGTCCGGCAGCACTGCTTCGCCCATACCGCTCGCACGCAGAGCGGCAGCACCCCTTTTCTCATACTGCTTCTTGGGTGCCAGGCAATACTGCAAGGACGGCAGGATCTCCTCAATCTCTTTGTAGAACTCCTCATACATCGTCGGATTCAATGCCGCCTTGTTCGCCGCCTGTACCGAGGGATCGTTTTGATACTCGCAGAAGGTCTTCATCGCGTGAATGAAACGGTTAATACCGACACCCCTCCGCTCCGGCTCCTTGCTGCACATCTCCGACATCCATACGGCCCCACTCTTCAGCGGCTCCTGCATCTAGTTCCATACCTGCTTGTCCGATAACTTCGCGAACTTGGAAGGCCCGTATACGTTGAGCAACTGCGACGGCAACGTCTCGAATACCTTCAGCCACTCCCGCTTCTTCTGGTCCTTCGCCTTCTCCGCTGAGGCCGGGGCGCCCGGTTGCGTCCCTGGAACCAACATCGCGAAGTCAGTGGCCATGCCACTGTCGAGGCTCATTGCGACCGATTGGATCGAAACCGCAGGGAATATACTTCCGAGTGGGAAGACTGGTACTGCCGCGCCAGCTGTGAGATTATATGGCTGCAATGGGAGACGTATGATACACATGAGACAAAGTCAACACATAGCATTTTAACATTATCGCCTGTTCCGTCTTAGAAGCGCCGAAGACGTTCCAAGAGGCCCAAAAAAGAGGAGCAAAGACGGCCCAAGAGGACCCCAGTATAGCCCTGGAGGCCCCCCAAGACGACCCCGAGAGGCCCCCAAGATGGCCTCAAGAGAGTGAACTCGAACAGACCCTTCTAGTCCTCCACCCCAAGATGACCCCAACAGCCCCCATTTTTGGGCCAGTTTGGAGACGCAACATGTCGGTATATATGATACATACCAGCCTTGCTCTTTGTCGGAGATACACGCGTAGGGAGCCACCGTGTGCTCAACAAGTCACATTTTTTTGGAACAGGTACGTGAAAATACTCTTTCTATGCATGCATGTATGTCTGTATGTATTTCTGCATTGTGTATCTATGTAAAATTGTTATATGTCATTCATACGACGTATGTAACTCTGAGTGCATGTCTCGACGTACGCATGTGTATGTGCATGTGACTGTGTAGGTAAGGTCTATGTGTAAAGAATGGCTATGCGCGTCGAACTAGTATGTTTACATGTGTGTATGTATGTATATGTGAATGTCATTGCTGCTATATGCTCTTCTTTCATACTTTTCTGGTCGACCACTGTGTCAGACAACATGCAACTATACAAATGAACACCGCCCTCGGGGTTCAGCCAGCAACGCCTCCAACTTGACTTTGGATAATCGTCTGGTGATCCACCTTCCCTGCATTTTCATTCTTTCATACTCAGAGCCGCCGCGAGCGTGCACTGCGGATACCAGCTCCTCGTAACTCCTCTTCCGCGCCCCCGTGCCTGCAGGCTTCTGCATACCGCGCTGCACCAGCACCGCGAGCTTCTTCTTAGTATACGACTTCGCGTACTTGATACCCAGACCCTTCGCGGCCTTGACCAAGCCGCGATACTGCTGATTGTGCTGGACCTTCTGAGTCACAACGCTCAGACAACTCGCGAGCACACGGAACTCTGGAATGCCATCCAATTCAACCTTGGGACACAAACGGCGGCGACCCATCTGAAACGCCACCTCCCAAGGTCCGCCAGCGCGTTTGGAGGGTAACTTCCGCAGCACAGCGAGTGATACACCCACACAGCTGCGGATCTCCTCCAAAACCTGAATTGTGTAAGGAAGCGTGGATACACTGTATGCGAGCCCATGTCGGACACGCGAAACATTTGCCCGCACAGACTTCCTCTTGTCATGCTGCTCAATGAGATACCAAAGACCATGCAGCGAATACCTATTGATAGCCTGCCGCGTCTCGCAGAACAATACATACATGGTCGCGGCACTCACTTGAGACGTGGTGTTTAGAGCCTTCCTCATACGACCCAATGCTGTGGTCATACTGTCGCAGGACACCACGCCAAAATACGCGAGCTCCGCCGCAGCATTGCGCCCATACTTCCGACACTGCCGCTTCAGAAACCACCGATGCAGCTCCTCGGTATACTCCGTGGGCGCGCAGCCCATGCAAAACTCAAGCATGTGCATAAAACACCGCATACAGTCCATGCTGTTATACTTACCTGCCATCTTCACCTGGTTCTTCTGAACAGCCACGGCCACATAGTCCGGGACACTGTCCCCGATGGCCATGATGTCAGCGCTCGCGACCGAGACGCCCACCACACGGGGACGCTGAAGCCCCGATACTACGTGCGCCCACTTCTCCGCAAATGCAACAAGGCGCCGTCGTATACGAGCCCTGCGGAGAGTGCGAATGAAGTTCAAACCAGAATACGCCATGTGCAAACCTTCCCGATGGGCCAAATACGAGCATCCCCTCTCTTTGCATACTGCCTCGCAGTGCCGCACGAGTCCACAACAAAATGAATCGAAGTTCTCGACGAATACACTCCACTGATCCAAAAGGTAGTCACATACGACAGGTACTCCTGCCTGACCTCTGGTGAAACGCAGTAATACAAAGGAGAGCAAGAAAAAATACCCTGCGGAGTCCATGCCAAGGCAAGACGCGGCCAAGAATAACCCCCTCTTGAGCCAAAGTGCCTATGAACAACACACAGAGACATCGTTGTTGTTGTTGTGTCGTGATGGTGATGATTGGTGGTGATGGTGATGATGGTGATGATGATGGTGATGGTGGCGTTGGTGATGGTGGAGGTTTCCTGATGGTGGCGATGGTGATGGTGATGGTGATGATGGTGATGATGAGATGAGAGGGGAAGGAGGGAGAAGAAGGATGGGAGTATCAGAAGAGCCAGAGGCCTCTTGAATGCCTCTCGGAGTCTACTCGGATGAATCTTGGGCAAGTAGAAGCCTCTTGGGTCGTCTTGGGGCCCTCCTCGCGTGACCCGGGGGCCTCGTGGGGCATCCTGGGTGCCCCGGGGAGCCCCTTGGAGCTTCTTGGGGATCTCTTGGCCGCCTCTTGGGCGCCTGTTGGGCGCCTCTTGGGACCTCCAGGGGGCCTCTTCAGACCCTCTTGGGGCGCTCTTGGGAGCCTTGGGGGCGCTCTTGGGGCCCTCTTGGAGGACATTTTTTTCTATGAAGGCAGACACTTGGACTCCAACGTAGAAGCGGACCGGAGACGATGATACACACATGCGCGTGTGTACGTTTATTTTCAACGTCCGCCACCATACGTCGCAGATCATTCCGGCGTTGCCGTGCCGCCGTACACGAGCAGCTCACCGTTCTCGCCCCGCACTTCCTCCCTCACTGGAAGCTCTTCATACACTGGCGCATCGGCAGCCTCCGCACTGGCACCTGCAGCAAACTCTGCCAGGATACGTTGGCACTCGGTCTTGGATACATCTGCCGTATCCTCTGTGCTCACGAGGAAGTCCAAGAGATTGTTGCCCATATCCATGGACAGAACAGGGTCCGCGTCATACTCCCCTTGATCTGCGCAGGCATACTCCAAGCCTTTTCCCTCGTCGTCAGATGACGATACCGAGTCATAGCCACGCTCCAGAATCTCGCTGGCCTTCTCAGGGCCAGCCGGGAGGAAGTCACTGCGGCGGAGCTTGCCGAATACATAGCAGCCCTCGCGGGACTTAAAGCGACTGCAGGCAACGTAGCCATACCCTCTCGTGGCCACTCTCTTCTTCTGCTCGAAGTAAATACAGCCGTGAAAAAGATCCGCACCCTGCGCTCGACGCACCGTGGTCGCATACCCGTAGCAGCAGGGCAGGAAGATCTCCCCATTCTCCTCGATGGGGTGCACCAATGCCATGTTGCCCGTGCCCACCAGCCTGGCTGTAAACACAGAGTTTCCACGAAGCGACTCGCATACCGTGGCCAACGCCCCATTGACAAAGCCTCGCTGTTTGTCAAAGTTCCGACTGAGGCGAATCACGATACCAGGTCTGGCCAAAATGCGTAAGTTGGACTTCGTGGTGGGATCGGAATACCCACCTTTTTGCAGATCGGCCTCACTAATGCCGAGTAATGCCAGAGCCGCTCTGCATACCTCTGCCGAGCCTGCGTTCGTACACGTCAGCCAAGAAAACGGATGTCCTTTCTCCGCCGCCAACGCCATACCGCGCTCAACACAAGCCTCCAAGGACTCATGCTGCCAGTTCCGGTCGCAAAAATACTCTGTCAAACACACTCGATCTGGCTGAGCCTCGCGTATACGGTTCAGGAAAACCAGGTGCTGCTGGTCTGCGGTGCGATACACTGTCTTCAAGTCAACCTTGTCCATTTGGTTGCAGAAGTGCTCGCATTGCCCCCCGCTCAATACTGGCTGCAACTGCTTAAAATCGGCCACGATACCAGTGAATGGTTTATGCGGCTGCTCCCGCACCGCGGCGAAAAAACGCATCCATTCCTGATCTTCATACTGGCTGCCTTCATCGCAAAGAATCAAGTCAATACCTCTCAAAGCCGAGGGTGGGGCCCAGCGGACCTTCCCGTCCTTCCCGGCCCTCTTATACTTCAGGACTCCTTGTATGGTATCCACTCGGATGTTCTCAATACCAGGTCTGTCTGGCAGCTTGGACTTGTACTGGTGCACGAGATACCCGGTGGGACACACGATCAAAACCTGAACAGACTCACATGCCCAAATGGCCAGCTCCAGCAATACTGCCGTCTTCCCACTGCCTGGTGGTCCACTGATATACAAGAAACGCTTACTGTTCTGCTGCTCCTCCTCGTCCTCCAGCGATACACCCTTCTTGACCCGTTCGATGGCGTCAGCCTGCTCGGGACTCCAGGTGCGCTGCTGATACTTCGGCCTATTCAAGACATCCCACGCCTGCCGGAGGCACTCGTACTCTGGCTCGTTATCGCATTGAACAACACGCATATACAGCAGAAAATTCGCGTGTTGCTTCTGCTCGAAGCAGCCGACACGCTCATCGCGCATACCTCGAAATTGCAGATCGCGTCGGGCCAGCGAGAGCAGGTACTCGAATGCTGCCCTATCATTGGCAAATACAGACACTCCAGCAGTATACTCCGAGCCGAATGACAGTATCTGGCCGTCCTCACCCACTCGCATCGGCAGCGCATGATTATGGAATTTCAATTCACACGACGTCTCCACGATACCAGCAGTGTCGGACCACTGCCAGGACATGAGATACTCGATCATGCCCACGAAGTTCTTCATACTGTCCAGGTGTTTGAACGTCCGAGGGAGTAATTGTGCAGCGTATACATGTGGCAGCACAGTCAGTGAATGCTGGCCCCAATTACCGTCGGTCAGCTCGTACCAGTACCTGCAGGCGACCACTTGCGTGGACGCATACCTTTGCTGATGTCTGCCGCCACGGAACTGTGCGCAGTGGTTCGAGGTGTCATACTCCCTGCCACGGTGCCATACCAAGAAACTCTCCGATACGGGAGCCCCTGCGACCAGCTGCTCCCTCTTCTCCTGAAGATAGAAACCATACATCCTCGAGGAAAAGTTCCCTTGCCGCCCGTCATAATTCAGCATGGCTGCAGGCTGCGGTGGATACAGCAAAACATGGGAGTAGGACCGCTCAAATTCCGACAGTTGCGCCATGCGGATCGCCACTTCCGGCAAGCACGGGCTGCTCTTGCTGAGCAAGCGATGCGCGGTCAGCCAGGGGCTGTTTGCATTCTTCTGCACATACTCGCCGAGCCCCACGTCGACGGCATCATGGTCCTTCGCCACATACCCGGAGATGTAGTTCAAACGGCCGTTGCCTATCTGAACATCTATCTCGGCGCAGAATACCAGCGAGAGGAACTTGACGAATGCCGACACGACAGCCGTACCAGTGCGCCCTTGGAGATTCTGCAACAGCCCAAAGCATACAACCCACGCGCAAATGTGCCAGTGCGGGGTGCCACGGCCCTGGTACTCGGTCTTCATACACCACTCGTAAACGATGAAGTACCTGGACACTGTTCTTTATGTAAGCACACTGTAGTGACATGATACATATGATACACGATGCGTCTGGTACTCATGAGACAAACTCGAAGAAGAGTTGGTCACATTTTTGGGGCAGCTTGTGGAACACATCCAGTTGTTATATGTGATATATGGGGTACATGATACATATGACATGAGAGAAACTCGCAAAACAATTCCTGGAATTGTGTTATACAAAAAACGAACCTGTGGCCCCAGCGGTTCGCCAAGAACAACCAGATACAGCGAACCAGGAAGTACATATGGAGTGACATCATATAGGCACCAGCAAAAATACAGCGAAGATACGGCTCCATGAAATACGGCCTCGGGAACTTCCACTCCGCGGGCGCGATGGTGATAAACAAATTCGGAAACGCGCGCAGCCATGCCTGTCCCCGGAGAGTGCGGCAGTGCTGATACAGGGCCTCATAATTCTTCTCGTCGTAGCAGCGCACGAGCATGATACGCACCAGATCAGCGAGGGAGTCTTGCACAATCTCCCAATACCCCGTAGAGGCCTGCGAATCTCGAGTCATAACGCCCCCCGTGACGCCGAGGCTCTCGGCACGAACTTGCGCATTGAAATACTTATTCGCCAGATGCTTCTCGTACAGGAAAAACGGCAGATCCCGCTGCTCGCCATATACACGGGCACTGGACAGCACCTTCCGAGTCCAGGACAGGCCGATGGATACCACCCGATTCGTGCTATCCTGGGTCTGGGCATAGTAGTGCTCCATGATACCCGTATCAGTGAAGTCCGTAGTCGGATACAAGACGGGATACATGGCACACTCGATACCTTTCATGACAACAAAGAGGTCGTAGGAGGAAAGATTTAAGGAGCTGCGGTTCTCGATGCGGATCCTGCGGGAGTCAAAAAGCTACTGTAATACCTGTCATGCGCCCCCAGAAAATGAATAGCGTTTGTGTTGATGTGGTTTTTGTTGCCGGCGTGTTTTTTTTGGGGGGGATGGGTTGGGGGAGGGCGGGTTCGGGGCGACCGGGGTGAGTTTGGGGAGAGGTGGGTTGGGGGAGGGGTGGGTTGAGGGAGGGTGGGTTTTTTCTTTGGGGAGGGGTGGGTTGGGGGCGACCGCGGCGCCCCTGCTCGCGCGGGTCCTCTGCTCCGTCAGAAAGCTGCGGTAATACTTGCTGTGCTCCATCAAGAAATGAAATGCAGCCTTGCACCGATCGGTAGGCATACTCGCTTCGCAGACCAGGTCCTTCTTGAAGCACGCGCGCGAGAGACCCACCTTCTTCCAGTTGAACTGGTGCGCAGCGCCATACCTCTCTTGCCGTGCGGAGGTCCTCAAGACGACGATGCTCAGAGCACGACATTCGTCGAGGGTCATCTCGTGCATACAGGGCCCAGTGCTGTGGTCCAGCGAAAACTGCCGAAACGAATATCGAGGCCAGGTGATGCACTCCTTTGCCTCGTAGCCCGACTTCGTCGCCAAGGGGATCCTATACAGCTCCGACGTCTTTGCAACCTTGAGGGCCTGCCCATGGTTCTGCGTACGGCGGTTGAACTTCTCGAGAGGAGTCTCTTTACCAGAACAGCAAGGGCAGCTGGCAACCACAGGCGTGTACATGCCTGGCTTATACCACCATCTCGAAGATATGCCAACTTGGCCACAGGCGCGCGCCACCGGGTCCTGCGGTACTTGCCGACGATACGCCGCCAACATGTCTGGTTGTTCCGACGTGCTACGATCCTGATATACACGGTTCGAGAAATACTCGTCATTGAAGAAGAACGAACCGCAGGCCTCGCAAGCGGACCAACTCCCGTAGCACACCCAAAACGCAAAATCTGTCAGATTATACTGCTTCTTGTGGGTGGCTTGGATACTGGTGAGTAATGACATGGACCAAGACTGTCGCTGAAATACCTCCTGGCACTTTAACATGGCATACGCAGCAATAAGACAAGCGTCCGCCGCCATTTTCGGGAATACTATGCAACCGTCAGCTGTCGCCACGCTGCAAGCTCTCGCATACCAGCCTTGCTCTTGGTCGGAGATACACGCGTGTGCAGTCCTCGGCAGCACCTGGCCCAAAAAGGTCCTCTCGTAGGCCTCCACCACAGGACCTGGCAGCGCGTCCTTGTATACGAAGGCATCTGGATACGCGAGTGCCAACTTGGCATGCCGTTCGTGGCCACCAAAAAATACCGATATATTGTGCAAAGGCACCAACTCTTCCGCCACGCCCAAGCGCTGACATAAAGATACACGCACAGCCTCCAAACCAGGTCTAGCCCGGGCGCGACAGCCAACCGCCCGGTTGTGGCCGAGCTTGCTATCCAGAGAAACCAAGGAATACAAGAACTCCCACTCCTGTTGCTCTAGGTGCTCGCTGGTCCAGCATTCGCCACGTTGCTCGCGATAGCGACGATACGCTACGAGCCGCTGCGTGGTCCTGCAATCCACGAGATACTGCGCCAATAACTGCTTTTTCACCTCCTCGGCCGAGACTCCCTTCTGCAGCTGCTCCAGGACATGCTCCCCGCATACGCGGCTGTGTATCTCCTCAGCATTCTCCAGTATTGCCAGCTGCTGGGAGGGCGCCTTCAGCCACCTCTCCAGGGCGACCCAATGTGCAAATACCCCGGTCTCCGCGCGATACTTGTCCACCAGCGCTCGCCCCCTCAAGCCTTCTACGTGATACCAGTACAGGAGGTCCCTGCGCGACAACGCGTAGACGGCGCAATTGCCATGTTTGGCACCGTCTCCGAGTCGATACTTGCAAAGCCACTCTCGCAGGGCATATGGACCCGCCTCATACCCCCAGGCCTTCAGACGCACCTGCATATTCTGGTAAGTGAGGCCAAGGCCCAAGTCGGAGACCTGCTCTCGATACCGCTTGCCGCATGCCGCCTCTACAGCATCCCCCGTCAGCAGCTTTATACAAACCACATCTGTGGAGGAAGAAGCTGCCGTGGCCAGCTGCTTCGATACGGGCTCCTCCCAGTCGACCGCGGCAGGCCGTTTGGCCACGCGGGCAGATCCGGCGGCGGCTGGCCGTTTCAATACCCCGCCTGCGACCTGCGCCGCCGGGCGCTTCAATACACGCCTGGTGACGGCCTGGGCGGATGAAGCCGTCGCCTGCACTGAGGAGCTCACCGACGCATACGCATCGCACCACTGTCTCAACACTCCTCGGGACACCAAGACAGCTTTCCGTCGCATACGCAACACGGCATGCAAGGTGTGGTACTTCAGCCCTGGATATACCGCGCGCATGTGGTCACCAAGTGCCGCGTCGAGCTTTTCAGCCGTGTCATACTGCAAAGGTCCAGAGTCAGGGTGATACTTCACGTACCATTGCCTCAAAACCATACCGCTGACAGCGACGGGGGGGTCGCTCTCCGAGAGAAGCTGCGAGAGGACCTCCGCGGCGGCCTCATCGGCGAAGCTCTCCCGATACTGATTGAGTCGAAGACGCTGGCCTATACATTCCTCCACAGCTTGGGCAGTATTCAATGCTCCCTTGGCGCCCCACTCCGTGCTGAGCCACATCTGGCATACCCTGGCGTCAGCAGATACAGATAAATGTCCCAGGAGCCACTGCTTCAACACGGCCCCGTCAGTAGTCCCCTCGGGCATGTCTTTGCGAATACGTTCTCCATACCAGGTCTCCAGATGGCCAGCGTTCTGCACTTTGACAAGCGTCTCTTTGGAAGAATACTGCAGTAGCCACATCTTTGCGACCTGATCTGTCGCATACAATGGTGGATCCAACTGTCGGAGCGCCCCGCATAATTTGAAAGGTGTATTATACTCGATGCCCAGGTGGCGGATGGCAGAACCGTGCTGCTCCTCCAGCTCCTGGGCGCTAGAAATACTAACCTTGCCAGGCACAACCCGATACTTGCCCCACCAAGTCTTGCACGCCTGGTGACAGACCTGGATACCCTTTGCAACGAGCGCCTGATGCAAATAATACGGGCTCTCGCAGTCGGCCAAGGGAGGCCGCGACAGCTCTGGGCCATACTGGTCGTCAAGGGCTTTCGCCGACAAAGCCATGACCCATCCAAGAACACAGGCGATACCTTGATCCGAGATGGCTACGGATGTGACAGTGATCAGTCGGAGGCTTCCTGGGGCCGCTTGGGGTCCTCTGGGGGAAGCCTCCTGGCGCCGCTTGGGGTCTTCTTGAGGGGCTTTGGGGGGCTTCTTGGAAGCATCTTGGGGCCTCTTGGGGGCTTATTGGGTCCTCACGGCGGGCTCTTGGGGCCTCTTGAAGGCCTCCTGGGGCAACCTATGGCGCAACCAGTAGGGGGACGTTTTATTCTCAGCGGTCGAGCGCGCAACCTATGGCGCAACCAATAGGGGAGCGTTTTATTCTCGGCGGCCGAGGGCGCAACCTATGGCGCAACCGCAAGGGATTATGGCCCCTGGCAGGCGCGCGAACCCCGTTGCAAGAGCGTGCGAAAGTAGCTCGCGCGAGCTCATGTAACATAAATGTTGGAAAACCATTGGTTTTTTTAGGATTCGGACAGCGCGCGCGGGTAGAAATTTTGAAAATTCGTGCAGGTGTTTTTCGAGGACCTACGGTGCGATTCGTGTGATTTTATGATGCGCGGTGCTAAAATTATTAAGAGGGGGGGGGAAGAGGGGGGAAGGGGGGGGGAGAGAGGGGATTAGGGAAGTGGAAGGGGCGTGGGAGGAGGAGGGGAGGAGGGAGGGTGATAGAGAGAGGAAGTCAGGGGAGGGGAGCTCAGTGGGATAGAGCGGAAACCCAATGATTTTTGAAGATTTCGGCGTGCGCGCGCGAAGAAAAAACGAATGTGTCCCACATGGTATTATTTGACAGGGATGATGGCCCTGGCAGGTGCGCAACCGTTGTCGCAGATGTTCGAAAAAGTTGCTCGCAAAAGCCCGTTTGACAGAAATGTTTAAAAAGTGTTGGTTTTCCTACGAATCCGCAAGAGCGCGCGGGATGAGATTTTGACATTTTTTGGTTGAAAAACCATTGGTTTTTTGATGTTTTTATGTTAAAATCGCTCCGAACACTTAGCTTTTGGAAGGATTTCGTCTTGCGCGCGCGAATGTCCACTTTACCTTATTTTTTGCAAGGGATTCTTGAAATTTGATTATATTAGAACAAGAAATGTCATTTTATAGTGTTTTTTGCAAGGGAAAAACGGATTACAACAAAACAACCGGATCTGGATCACATCGTTTTACCTGAGGCTTCCTCACGAAAATGATGAAAATGTAGCTGCGGCCTAGGCGGCGCAGGGGGGGCGTGCACCAGGGGGCCCAACAATAATTATTCTTTAGAAGTAATAATATTCAACACACTTGCTTTTTTGCGTTGGGGCCACGCGCGCGGCGGCAGGGCGTAGACAGCCGAACATACACACACACACCGCAACACAGGAAGATGTCTTCATCCGACCCTGCAGCGGGATGGCACGCACGGGCTCAGTGAAGCCATGAACCTTCGCGCGCATCGGCGTGCCAAGGCGTGTCATCCTGGGGCGCCACCACCTGGAAACAAAACAACTGGATCGGCGCCATACGAACCCCACCTGTTTTTTCACCCTTCGATCGGTCATCGAAGACGGGCTGGAAAATTTCTGGAGGAGATCCCACGCAATATTCACGGAGGCCTGCGACTGTCCAGTCCATACCCATTTTCGTCATCTTGATGTCAAAGGGACGGTAGATGCACCCAATAGCTGCAAGCTGGTCACTGCAACAATGTACCTGGGGCCTGCTGTCTTATGAGAAACGCAAAACGCTCCGTGCGCGACTTCTGCGGTCAAGACTTTTGACGTAACCCAAGGAGTTGTAGGGGCAGACCGAGCAGGCCAACGCAGGGAGAAAATGCGCCGACATTGAACAGCTCCCGCACACACCATACACACGACCCTGCTGCACTCGACGAGCAAAACAGCCACGCCGCGACAAGACGAGTCTATCGGCGTTAGGCCAGATTCCAATCGCAATCTGTCGGCACGCCCTCTGGTCCGATCCACAATCGCAACGCGAACATTGGCTGCGCTTTGAATCTGGGCAAGGTCTATCCGGACGGTCGGCCCAAGAGACCGCCTCCTGGTCGGGAGGATCAGCCACCCGCGGACCCGAGGAGTCAGAGGGCCAGGCCAGTCCGGGCACAGCTCGGACATGGGAACGAGGACAAAGTCTCGCTCGTGCATCAAAGCGTGGGGAACCTCCAATGGGTACTTGCCGGAGGTCACGTTAAGCTGAACGTTGCCAACGGCGACGACGTCTACGTCGACAACTCGTGGGCCTCTCCGCACCTCAGCACGATGCCAAGAAAGAGGACAATTAACACATGGTAGCGAACACATCTGGCCGACAAGTGCGTTGCACACTAACGTTCAAGCACGCCGATTGCTGCCCTCGTCTCACAAGAAGAAACAGCACGAACCATGACATCCGATCTGAATGCCTGGAAGACGGACAGGGGCGAGCCCCTGGGGTCGACCCAGATCCTGGCTCAACGCCGAGAGCCTAGACTCGCAGCCCCATCCCGGGCCCCTATGCAGAGTCAAGAGACCGTCCAATACAATCCATAGCAGAGGAGGGGAGCGGGAGGGGCGGCGCAGCATAACAGGGGGTCCAGCAAGTTTGCCATGAATAAGGGCGAGTGGGCAAGTACCCCCCTTGACGTCCCGCGGTCTCAGCGGGTCCCAGGGTGGCTCGTAAGGCAAGAGCCTGTCCCACCAATATGCTGCCGTCTCGGCTTGTGCAATTCTCTGAAAGGTTGGTCAGGCCTGGAGTGTGGGCCCTTGGGCTCGCACTCGAAACTCAAGGGCCCGGTTTGCTTTGCCGGGTTAGTGACGCTCCGATTCTACCTGGCTGCGCTCAGGGCCGGCAAACCGAAGGCACATGACGCCACTGCTCCGGAACTCACAAAATGCTGCTGCCGAAGGGCATGGGCGGTACCCCGCAGGGGCGGCAGCCCTCCGTTTTGCCCCGCTCCTGCAAGGCGCCGTCCCCCCGAGCCGGCCTGCGGCACAGTCAAGCCACGAACTACGGCATGCAGCGCGAAAGAAGGAACGAGGCCCCTCGTTGCTCCCCGAACCGCCTGGGTGCACGAGGAGCGCTGGCAGCACAACCGTGCAAGAAGCTGAGCAGCAGCGAGCCCCCTTCGAAACCGAACGGCGCATTCTTCCAGCGTCCTGGCCGCACCTCTCCCCGTGGTGCCCTCGACCGAGGGGAGCGGACCAGGGCGCCCGGCTCCCCTGAAAGCCCGCATGCCAGACATCGCCGCCCTGGTTTTTCAATCCGCGGCCCCATGCAAAGGTCCCAGATGCTTCCCCAGGATCGTTTCTCGACCCCGAATCCGTTTTCGGGGGCGGCCAAGAGGGGGGCGTCCAAGAAGGGGGGGTGCAAATCATGGCCGGCGGCAGGTGCGCGGCCCAATGGGGGGCCAGGGACGTAATGAAATGAGAAGAGGCGCCATGAAATCTTGGGAAATATCACGGCCCACGCCATGATATCCCCCCCCCTCTAGTCATCACCCCCCTCTTTGCCTCCCCCGACGTTTTCGCTGACCCCAGGGCCGCATCACGGGCCCCAGAAGCCGCAATCGGAGGAAGATCGCCGGGATTGACAACAATCCTGCCGCTGGAGTTCTGGGCCCTCCACGCCCGATGCTAGAGGCCCCCCAGATGAGGTCCGAGTGGATGGGGTCGGGGGATCCACATCGAGCCACATCGCCGACGCATCGGCGATGCGGCGCGATCCTCCGAACTCGCCTTCCCGACCTCACCCAGGAGCCCTAGAGATGGGCCGCGCTGCCGAGCGCCGCTCCCCGGGCTCGCGGCCCACGTCGCTCTCGATCTGCTTCAGGTCCGCCAGCAGGCCCTGCAGGTCGGCCAGCCTTGCGGCCGAGAGCGACAGCTCCGCCACCGCGTTGAGGAAGGGCGGCTGGTCGCTGACCTCGGGGTGCCCCTGCCCATCCTCCCCTCCTCCTCCTTCCTTCCTCCTCCTCCCTCCTCCTCCTCTCCTCCTCCTGCCTTCCTCCTCCATCCTCCCTCCTCCCTGGTCCTCCTCCTCCTCCCGTCCTCATCCTCCCTCTACACGGTCCTCCTCCCTCTCCTCCTCCTCCCTCCTCCTCCCTCCCCCCCCCCACTCCCCGCTCCTCCCTACTCCCTCCTCCCTCCTCCCTCCTCTCTCCTCCCCCTCATCCTTTCTCCCTCCCCCCTCCTGCCTCCTCCCGCAGTCTTTTGCCTGGATGTTCGTAATCCCTGCTAGATGTTTCGATCACATATCATGGTCAGTGGGCTCCGCCAATGACATGGGGAAGAAGGGATAATGCCGTCAAGCATACACTAAAGTAACACTGAAGGGAGGAGGCCGGCCCGCCGGCCGTCGCACGCGCGCGCGCCGCAGGCTCGCTCCTTTTGAGTTTCCCCAGAGCACAGTGGTATAGCTGAGGAAGCAGAAGCACTCAGTACGTCGGGCAGTGCGCGCAAGGCAAAGGGGCAGACAGGGCGAAAGGATGGTGGTGCGGACGGGGTGCATTGACTCCCCCTCCTTACCATGGCCCCCCCCTGCCGACCGTTGACCTCCCAGGCGCTTGCGGCTTCTCTTCCCCGCCTTCCGGCCGAAGGCACAACGGCCTCGGCACTTGGTTGCCTTCCTCCTTTCCCCTCTTCTCCTCTGCGCGCAATGCTTGGCCAAAACGCCCCCCCCCCCCATCCCTCGCTGCGGCTTCGAATCGGCCGCGGGATCCGCGGCGTCGCAGCCAGCCACGGCCCGCGAGGGGAAGCACTTCCGTATCCCATCGTGTCCTGCCCCCACGCCAATGCCTCACCTGGCAGGCACCGCGGTCAGGGAAGAGCTAACGGCTCCTTCTGGCACGCAGAATGCCCAGGCTTTGGACTTCAGCTTCGCCTCTCGCGTCCCGCTGAGCAGCGCCAAAGCCCGCGGCCACTGCTTGCCCTTCTCGCACAAACTGATCGCAGCCTTGTTGCTGTCGACGTTCGGCTCCAGATCCACTTCCCGCAGCGCGATGAGCAGCGTAAGCGCCCGCTGCCAGTGCTCGCCCTTCGGACACGCGCTGATCCCAGCGCTGTCGCTAACTAGAGCATACCGGTGGACTCCGCCCACGAATTCCACAGTGTCCAGCGTGTGTTTGCTGCTGCTAGTTGCTTCGGGTTACTTGCTGATGCTTGCGTGCCTTTTGCTTGCCTGCTACTTGCCTCAGCTTGCTAGTTGCTCTTGCGCTTGCTGTTTGTTGCTGTCGTTCGTTGCCTGTGGGCGGTTGTTGCTTGTTGCTGCTGCTTCCTGGTTCCACTTGCTGAGGTTACGAATGGAACGTGTTGCGGGCTGCCCATGGCTGCAGCTGCTGCTGCCGGCAGGAGGCGCAGTGAGTCCTGCACAATTCCTGGGAGCATTCTGAATCGTCTTGGGGCCTGGGGACTATCGCCCACGCAAACGAACTGGTACAGTCGAGTTTGATTAGTGGATCGACCCTGCCAAATCAAGGGTACCATCGTGTCCTGTGTTCCGCGACCCGTGCCCCCGACATTCCTATGGCAAGGTGGCCCTGGGAAAGGACGTGTGTCCTTTCGCGTGTTCTCCCAGGTCAAACTCGATTGCATGCAAGGGTGAACATGTGGACGAGCGCTGCACTACGCCACACTCGGCGACGTCGCGGCTCGGTCAGTATGGCGCGGAATGGCACAGCCAACACATGTACACGTCGTTCATTTCTAATCGTGCTCATTTCTATTTGTGCTCGTTTCTAGTTGTCCCTGGCCCCCTAGTGGCCAAGACGAGGCCCAGGATAGAACAATTTGGAATGAAAGGATCCTGGCCCCCCAAAGAATCAAAGAACCTTCGAGGCATTAGAAATGAACTATGCGTAAGAGCACAAGCTTCTTCGTCGCACGGACGGCGGACTACAATCTGTGGAGGGTGGTCTCTGTGGGAGGGCCACACGGACAGCCCTGGAGCCCTCGCCCGAAGCCCCGCGGCCCTGGCCCACGACGGCCGCCCAGGGCGACCCCGCAGCCTTCGCGGACGGGGCCTCCCTCCGAGGCCGGGCTTCCCGGACGGCTCCGCAGCCCCTGCCCGAAGCCCCGCGGCCCGTCTCCACGGAGGCCTCCCGGGCGGCCCTGGAGCAGTCGCGCACTAGGCACCGCGGCCCCTTCCGGGGCCTCGCGTCCATGAGGCGGGCGGGTTTCCAGGACGCCCGGCGGCCCCCGCCCCTGCGTCCACAGCCCCGCGGCCCTCGTGGCGGGCAGGGCCACCAAGGGGGTCCAGCAGCCCTCCCCTGAAGCCCCGCGGTCCTTCGTGGAAGCCTTCAGCTCGGGATCCCCCTCCTGGGGGCCTCTCGGACCGCTTTTGGGGTCCTGTGGAGCCGTGTTGGGGACCTCTTGGGCCGATTTCGGAGGCCTCCTTGGGGCGTCGCCCCTCGGGCGGAGCCGCGGAGGCACTGCGGCCAGGGAAGAATTCATGGCGCCTTCTGGCACGCAGAATGTCCAGCAGAGTAATATAGATGACGCTGGGCTTCAGCTTCGCATCCGTCATCTGACTCAGCACCGACAGTGCATGTTGCCAGTGCTGGCCTTCTTTTGCATGCGCTGCCGGCCGCAACGTAGCGGCATTGGGCGAGTTGCACACCTGACTGGATCCCCTCGCAGAGCAACTGCAAATGCTGAGCTCCATGGTCTTGTCCGACCACACCTCTTGATTGCAACCTCGAAGAAAGAAACGGCTTCTAGCACACGACAACATGTGGCATCGCGGCGGCTCGCTCCGCCTCCCAACGCCTCGCTTCGCCGAGTGCCGCGAACAATCGCCCGGAAAGGCAGGAAGAGGGCGCTCCGGAGCTCCGTGGAGTCCCCACAAGTCTCTTGGAGGTCCCCAGGGGCCTCTGGAGACCTCCCGGGGCCAGAAAGGTATCGAAGACAATCAGAAAACTCGATCTGACGGGGGCCCCCAAGGCGACACGCCAGGAGAAGGGCTGACTGACCCCTTCACGCTCCTTGGCCACACGCCACGTCACGCGGTCATTCGTTCGCTTTGTCCTCTTCGCCTTTCCCGGTTTCGGATGACGAGGTGCTTGATGAGCCCAACGAAGGTTAGGCGCGCACTGCTCTGCGGAGAGAGGGCCCTATCCCATTTAGTCATGCACTCGTGCACTACTCCTTCTCCTCCTCCGCCTCCTCCTCCCCCTGCTCTTCGCGTATCTCTCTCTCTCTCTCTCTAATTTCTCTCTTGTTCCCATGCCACCAAGTTGGCCGAGGGCTCGCGGATCTGGGGGTTCGCTTGGTTTCTGCCTCCCCACACACGCGGGAATCTCCTCCCCCACCTTTCCTCTCATCTTCTATGCATCATGCGCCATCATCATTACCACGCGCACTCACGCACCAACAACAGCATCATCAGCATCATCAGCAGCATCAGCATCATCATCAGCATCATCATCACCATGGTCGTCATCACCACCATCATCATCATCATCATGACCCTGACTACTCTCTTTCCAGACCACTGCTTGCGGTGAACAGGTGGGCATCTTCAAACCAATTCTGCCCCAGCTTTGTGGGGATGGACGGGTTCTGGGTGAACCAAAAAGACTGCAGAGCGGAAAACGGATGACGAGGTCAGGTCATTTCCGTGGGGCACAAAAATGGCCCTGACTACTCTCTTTCCAGACCACTGCTTGCGGTGAACAGGTGAGCATCTTCAAACCAATTCTGCCCATAAACAGGACCCCCGCACACAGCACTGGAGTGGCGAAATTATTCGACGAAATATTTCAGGTTAGGTATTGCTGCAGGAAAACCCCCCCGAGGCCCCAAGATTAGAAGGGGAAGGACAAGGAGGAGGGAAGAGAAGAGAAGGTTGGCCACAGTTCGTGCACACGCAAGAGGCTGAGGGACGAGGCGATAGCCTTGGATAGCACGAGGCACAGCTTCTCGGGGTAAACCTGCTTCTGGCGCGTCAAGAATCCCCCTTGTCCCGTGGGCCCGTCCAACTGATAATGTGGTTTTCCCGAAAAGCTGCAAGCACCACGGCCCTTACATTTTGCACCTTCCAGAGCCGAACACTTAACGTTGAACAGGTTGAGACGAGTACGAACTCTCCAAGGCGTGCCGAAAGCGCAATAATGTCGTGCACTCGGGACGTCTCATCATGGCAGGCCGACGGTGGCCAAGCCACAAGTAGCTCTGGGAAGGGTTTTCCTCCCCACACGGCAGGCCTCGCTGGATACACGCTTCTAGCAGAACGCCGGACCGATGAGCCAGCACGTTACCTTCGGCAACTGTCCGCTGATCACGCACATCAAGATTTGGAAGACCTGCGGGGTATTCAGGACTGCGCAGCCTATGATGAAGTCGTGACCACTGCGGCGCCCGTCGGGCCATCGCGAACGATTGACATGGGGTACCTGACCACATTCCCAAGACCAGCCCTGATCGAATCCATCCAAGAAGGGTGTTGAACGCATTATCATTCAGCAGGTCGTGGGACGGCCCGTGGCAGATATCGATGCAAACGACGGCGATATTCCGGTCCGCCAAAGCAGCCGCCAGCCCCCCTGCCCCCGAGAACACGTCTAGAAAGATCCTCGGGCCGAGGGGCTGCGGCTGCGCAAGAGCTCGGCGCAGCGCTCGACGAAGGGCGCGAGGCCGCGGTCCACCAGCGCCGCGATCTGACCCCTCACCGTCGCGGGGAGCTTGCCGAGCTGCAAAGACACCCGCGCGTGCTTGTCGTAGCGAGCGACGCTCCGAAAGCTGCGCCAGTGCCCCCTCTGCTGCACCTCGAGGAGCGACCGCGCTCGAACGAGACGATCGCGGCTGGCGCCCCCGTGCCGCAGCGCGTAGAGGCTCGGCTCGACGCAAGAGACCTTCACCTGCTGCACGGCCAGCGCGAAGGACCGGTACAACTGCCTCGAGCCGACGTCGAAGTGGCGCTCCCCGCGGGCGCGCCCCGCCTGCAGCGCCTGCAGCAGCGGGATGAGTGGGCGGTGGCGGTCCAAGTCGAGGAGCACGCTCAGGTCGAACCCCTGGGTCTTGGACGGCCGTCCCAGCTCCTCCACGTGAACGCAGAAGCCCCAGAACGCGCCCTGGCCGCGCGACGTAGTGGGTGGCACCAGCTGCCCCACAGTCAGGCTGAGGAGCTCCGAGGGGCGCATGTAGGTCTCGAACATGACGATGATGGCAAGGGCGCCCACAGGGCACTCGGGCAGCATCGCCCACGCCAAGGCCAGCACGACGCCCCAGGGCAGCGGCGGGCGGCTGTGCCCCGGGCCCAGCTGGCGCCAGCCTAGCATGGCCGCATGCGCGCCGGGGAAGACCTGGCGCAGCGGGCCGCCCAACGTAGGCTGGGCCCACACCACGGCGGCCAGCAGCCGAGAGGCCAGCGCCCGCGACCACCTCTCGCCCCGCGCCCACTCCACGAAGTTGACGAGCTGGAGGTCCCACTGCGGGCCCGACCAAGCGGGCAGCGGCCACTGATTCAGGTAGCCAGCCAGCTGCTCCAGCACGTCGCAGTAGCCCGCCTGCGTCGCCGGGCGGATGCGCTCCTGCTGCAGGCAGGTCAGCAGCGGGGCCAGCAACAGCAGCCGCGCCCGCGTCGCCGTCCGGAGGCGCTCCAGGCGGCCCGAGCCCTGGCGGCCCCCAGGGCCAGAGGGGGTTGAGCGGGCAACCCGCCGTGCGCCACCAGGACGGATGGGCTGGCAAGCCCCAGGGGCGCTCGGCCCAGCGCGACCGCTGCTCGCGAGGCCGCGGCCCGTCGGCGCGCCGGCAGAACGGCTGCTGGAGCAGCCCGGGCCCGCATCGTCCTCGTCGTCGGAGTCGGACGGGACCGCAAGCAGCAACTGCGCTGGAGGCAGGCAGGCGGTGCTGGACATGGACTGCCACTTTCGCTTGGCCCCCATGCCGAGGCTGGTGAACTCGGCTCGCAGCGTCCAGAGCGTTGAGCTCCGAGGGGGACCCATCGGTCGTGAAGCTTGAGCCCGACGGCGAGAGCAATGGCAGACGAGAGCCGGCACTGAAAGTTCATGGCCGGAGTCGACGACCTGTCCTTCGCGCGCGCACAAATCACCGACATGTTATCGCCCAGAAGCAGCACACGAGTGTTATGAAGGCTACAATCTCGAGCAACATGTCGCACCGTCCAGGTCCTAGCCCAGGCCTCGAGATGGACCTGGGACCCCGGGGCCCCCCTCCAGCGGCCCGCGCAGGCCACAGTCCAGCTCCGCTCGACCAGGGCCGCCGGGACCTCAGCGAAAGAGCGGGCCCGTCCGAGTCCCAGGATGCCGGTCTCCGAAGCCTCCGAGATCTCCAGCTCCTCCTGGTGGTCCAGAGCCCGGGACCGCGGCGCCTCTGAGATACTGAGAAGACCCCGAAAGCGTGCTCGCTCACGAACACGGCCCACAGCGGCGACCTCACTAGTCTCCCAGCGCGTCGATCCAACTCCAAATCCCCAGCAAGACGCGTCGTAGCCGAAGACTCGACTCGACCACGGACGACGCATCGAGGCACGAGCCAAGGGCAGAAGAGCACGTATCCACCGAACTTCGCGATGAACAGACGGCCAGAGGGGCTGACGGCGAGTGCAACTCTCGTGGATGAACACATAGACCTTTTCCATGAGGCACAAGAGCTCCGGGGAAAGCGAAAACAGAGCCGTGACGTGGCCCACGAAACGCTCCAGCTCCTGCCCTGCGATAGCAGGTCGAACCTCCAGGAGATAGTCGGCAGCAAGTTTCAGCCTCCAGAAACGATTAGCTTTAGGACGCCACTCCCCAGAGGAGCCCACCAAAGTGAAACCTATGAAGTCATTGTCCCCCGCCTCTCCAAGGTCGGCACGATCCCAAGGCCCGCGAGCTGCGACTGCATACTCTCGACGTCCGAGGTGGCAACCGACTTTGACTGGGCAATGGAAACGAAGTTGTCGATATAAAGTCCGCGAAGCGACCCAACGTCGCCAAGAGGCGGGAGCGGGACCTTATCTAGGAGCCACGGGGCCTCGGGGGAAACTTTATCGAGCTGATACTGGTTAGCGCCTGTACAAGAGCCACGCCCAAATTCCAACCCATCGGCACCACGCAAGCTCGCACGCGGCCCCAGCCCCGATTACGAGCCGCATCCGGGAGCGCGGCGACGAGGTCCGGGGACAGGTGCGCAATAGGAAGGGAGGGCAGGCCGAAAAAACACCTGTACTGTTCAGGAAAAGTAAACTGGTAATAGCAGACTTCGACATCGCCCCCGCGCAGCACGGGGATCACATGAGGCTCGCATTCGAGATGAGCGAGAGCCTCACCAGAGGGCAAGACCACACCAGGAGGCTCGCGGAACCGAAGGTTAGGCACACGAGTGTCCCAGATCAGGCGAAGAGCACCTGACTTTTTTCGAACGAAAAACAAGCCACTTTCGTCGAGTACATCGTCGCTGACTTCCACAACGCCAGCGGCCCAGAGCTCAGAAACGAACTCTCCAAAAAGTTTGGGATTATCCCGAAGGACGGGATCAAGGAAAAGGATGCCATGAAAGCTGCCACGGCGAGCGGCAGCCTCGTCCTCAGAAAATAGGATTGACCGATCTTCAAGCGCAGACTGCAGGGCGGGCGGCAGGCACTCACTCAGCGCAACTCGCCCAGAGAGCCCCGCGGGAAGCGACACGTTCCCTCGCTCGAAGTTCGCCCGAGCACCGACGGCCATCGCGTCATCCGCGTAGCCGGGCCGCGTACCCTGGAGCGCCTCCCACGCTCCCAGGGCGCCCCCGCAGTCAGGCGGGGGAGCGACGACTGATCCGCACTGCCGAGCAAGGTGTCGAACGGCCGAGACCTGAGCAGAAGTCAAAGACGAAGGCGAAGTCGCCAGCGGCTCCGGGGCGCCCAGCTCGTTCAAGGCGCGGATGTCCTCGAACAGCCAGCCCCCCTGAGCACGTCGACGTCGAAGCCGCCGCCGCTGGCTCTGGGACAAGCCCAGCCCGCTGGCACCCCCAGCACAGATCTCCGAGGCGGCCGCCAGGGAGATCGGCAGAACGTCGCGCTGCCTCATCTGCTGCGAAGCTGAAAGCGCCTCAGGGTGGCACCACCTGCCAGCCCTGAACCCCTCACGAAAGCCCTCGAGGAGGCGGGGCAGACCCCCCCGTGGCGGCACAAGTCAGATGGAAGCAGGCCCTCAGGCCTTCTCCTTGGGACCTTTGGGCTTCTTCTTTGGATCAGCCGTCGTCGGTCCCGCCCCCTCTCCTTTGGCCAGCGCGGCCTCCTCACGCGCCTTACGGCGCTCCTTCAGCACGGCGGCGCGGGCCGCCAGCTCCTTCGCCACGTAGTCCTCCAGCTCAGGCATGACGATGGCGCTGCTCCTCAAGTTCTTCACGCCTAAGAACAGAGAGCGCTCGCTCAGCCAGTCGTCACCGCCCGAGCCGCCCGTGTCCACCTCTCGCAGCAGATCCTTGTAGGCGCTCTCCCACATCTGATAACGCCGGCTCACGAGCTCGAACGTCGCCAGGTTGCAGACCTGCATCTGATCGATCGCCATGCCGACCTCCAGGAGCTGGGACAACAGCAAGTGCTCGTCCACGCCGACGTCCGTCGCCGACAGCCCCATCACAGAGCGCCACCAGTAGCGCCGTTGCACCGGGCTGTGGTTGCCCTCGTAGATCCGCTCAGCCGTGAAATGCGTCGAGCGCGGACCCTCGATCTCCCAGCTCTTCCCGAAGTCGGCGGGCTTCATGTCCTGCAGCGCGCTCGCGAAGGAGCGGCGATAGCGCTGCTGGGCGTCCTGCCTGGCGGACAGGATGCGGGAGTCGCCCTCGCCCCCCGCAGCGGGGCCCGTCGGCAACGTGCCCTCGAGCCCTCCGATCAAAACTGCGCCGTCCTTCAGCTCGAAGATACAGCGATCGTTGGACTCGAACTCGACTGACCCCAGCGAGGCGGTGAGGGGGTCACCAAGCCCCCCACTGCCACGAGCCTCCATCGCGCGCCACTGCGCGGCGGGCCCGGCGCCCGCGCCCGCCGCGGTCGGCGCAGCCGCAGGAGCCGCAGCCCCGGCGGGGCGAAGGCCCCGCGCGAGAGCCTCCCCCGTGTCCACGCAGCACTGCCTGTCCTGGCCGAAGCGGTAGTGGTCGACCAGGTAGCGAGAGAGCGCGCGCACCGTCGCGGGCGCCTGCCCGTTGGCCAAGAACCGCTTCAGGTCGTCGGCCTCGGCGAAATCCTCCTTGTCCCAGTCCCGGGAGACGACGACCCACTTGGAGTCGCTGATGTGGCCTAGCAGGATCCGCTCATGCCATTCCACCGCCGCCCCGCCCGCGTCCTGATAGTAGCAGACGAGGACCCGATCGCCTGGCTTGGCCGACCCCTGGAGACACGCCAACGTCGCCATCTTCCTCGACGAGGGACACGAACGTGTCGTTCACAACCGGCGAAGCGCCCAAGCTGCGGCGCCCGAAGCTGCAAGCCAAGCGTGAAGGCGATGACCGAGAAGAACGCCAGCAGCCCGAGCAAGGCCGCGAGCCCGATCCCCTCGGCGGCCTCCGAGTGGCAGTGGCAGTCGCACTGGCAGACGCACTGGTTCGAGCGCCCGACCAGCTCCGCCAGGAGACGGCACTCCCCGCTGACAGGCTCCGCGGCAAGCAGAGCCTCAGGCACCTCGCAGGTGCACTCGACTGGCGCGGGCCACAAGAGTGCACGCAGGAAAGCAAGCTCTCGGAGTGCAGAGAAGCTGAAGAAGAGAGCTTCCATATGGTTCTGACTTGAACCAAAAAGACTGCAGAGCGGAAAACGGATGACGAGGTCAGGTCATTTCCGTGGGGCACAAACATCATCATCATCATCAGCATTGCAAGCGGTAAATTCATGCGGTTACGTTGAAAGAGCTAATGGGTAAAGGAAACACTTGTATAATCAAATGCTATTGCTCTGTTGCGCGACAACAGCGGCGGCGCGTCCGAATTGCCGAGCCGCGTCCTGCGCTCGCGGCCTGAATCTTCTGCCAACGAGCATCTACAATCCGCAGGAAAAAATGTCCAATGGTCGCCGCAAACCGATGCAACGCGACCCTGAATACTCGAGCAAATGCATCGCGGGGTGACCCGGCAGGAAAGACAGCGGCCCCCCGCCCCCCGATCGGGTCCTGGCCCCGCATCACCACCGCATCCCCAAGGTTTTATTAAGGCAGACCGCGGACGTTACTAAAGCGAGGAAACGGCTTTACTAAAGCGGAGAAGCGGCTTCACTAAAACGGAAAACGGCTTTACTAAAGCGAGGAAACGGCTTGAGTAAAGGCGCGCCGCTCGATACATTTCGGAAGAAAAAAGAAACACGAAAGGAGAGCTTTAGCAAAGCGAAGGAACGGTTGGGGTAAAATTGCGAGCAGGAGTTTCGATCCTCCCATGAAATCTAACCCTGGACTCTGGGAGCGACGGCGGGGCGCAAGTTCGCCCGTGGGCCGTGGCCCCGTCGCCGCCGTCGACGACGCCGTCGCCGGTGCCGCCGTTGTCGTCACCGTCGGCGCAGGCGCCGCCGTCGTCGTCGCCGTCGCCGTCGTCGTCGCCGCGACGCTCGCGCATTCACGTTGGGTCGCACACGACCGCGCGCGCCACTGCGCTCGCATCTCCGCTCGTCCGACGGGGGCCCAGGCGGACATCATGTTCCCTACCTAGGCTCTGCCTAGAAGGGTTCTTACTCTGTCAGCTAAAAGGGCCGGGCAATGGAAACCGCCCCGGGCGGTTCCCCCAGTCCCCGCCCCGCGGTTCCCCCAGTCCCCTGGGAGCTTTAGCCTTAGCTTTAGCTTTAGCTTAGCTTTAGCTTTAGCTGTAGCTTTAGCTTAGCTTTAGCTTAGCTTTAGCTTAGCTTTAGCTTAGTGTTAGCTTAGCTTCAGCTTAGTGTTAGCTTACATTTAGCTTAGCTTCAGCTTAGTGTTAGCTTAGCTTTAGCTTAGCTTCAGCTTAGCTTTAGCTTAGTGTTAGCTTAGCTTTAGCTTAGCTTTAGCTTAGTGTTAGATTAGCCTTAGCTTAGCTTTAGCTTAGTGTTAGATTAGCCTTAGCTCAGCTTCAGCTTAGCTTTAGCTTAGCTTCAGCTTAGTGTCAGCTTAGCTTTAGCTTAGCTTTAGCTTAGCTTCAGCTTAGCTTCAGCTTAGTGTTAGCTTAGCTTTAGCTTAGTGTTAGCTTAGCTTTAGCTTAGCTTTAGCTCAGCTTTAGCCTAGCTTTAGCTTAGCTGTAGTTTAGCTTCAGCTTAGCTTTAGCTTAGCTTCAGCTTAGCTGTAGCTTAGCTGTAGCTTAGCTTTAGCTTAGCTTTAGCTTAGCTTTAGCTTAGCTTTAGCTTAGCTTTAGCTCAGCTTTAGCTTAGCGTCAGCTTAGCTTTAGCTTAGCTGTAGCTTAGCTTTAGCTTAGCTTTAGCTTAGCTTTCGCTTAGCTTTCGCTTAGCTTCAGCTTAGCTTTCGCTTAGCTTTAGCTTAGCTTTAGCTTAGCTTTAGCTTAGCTTTAGCTTAGCTTTAGCTTATATTTAGTTTATAGTTAGCTTTAGCTTTAGCTTAGCGTGAGCTTAGCTTTAGCTTAGCGTTAGCTTAGCTTTAGCTTAGCTTCATGTTAGCTTTAGCTTAGCTTTAGCTTAGTGTTAGCTTAGCCTTAGCTTAGCTTTAGCTTAGTTTCAGCTTAGCTTTAGCTTAGCTTTAGCTTAGCTAAAGCTTAGCTTTAGCTTAGCTAGTTTAGCTTTACTGTTACTACTAATGCTGCTTTCCTAGGGGCTCCAACTCCTAGGTAGGGTCGCACTGGGATAATTTTGTTTGTGCTCACAACTCGTTTAAAGTAATAGTAGCCTCTGACAGCAGCAGACTCATTATCATTATCATCAGTATCATCATCATCTTCGTCAGCTTCAGCATCGGCATCAGCATCAACATCAGCATCAGCACCATCATCATCATCACCATCACGAAAACCATCACCACCACTATCACCGTCACCATCATCCTCCTCATCCTCCTCCCTCGGCCTTATCCTCTGCAGCTCATCAACCTCCAACAAGAACTCTCCTCCGCATCCTCGGGATCGGTCCCAGCACACGCCTGGTCCCCTGCCCGCGCCTCGGGTGCACAAAAAAAAAACTTGACGCGAACGTTGCAGACAAGGCCACTCTTGTGCCGGGTCAGGCCGAGGTGCTCCGCCCAGAACCCAGGGAAACGGCCAGAGAAGCAACGAGCCCTACTCAAGTCAACAGAGCTCTTCGCTTCGAAGCCCCGACTGTGTGCCCACTTGCCCACCCGCCCACCGGAGGCCTGTGCCTTCCCGGCCAGACACCACTCAGACCCAGCCCCGAGACCGCTGCCAGGTACGACTGCAAGCCGTGGCAGCGACTAGGCCCCTACGTAAGCAGTAAAAATCCCAAGAAGTAGGCGCATGGACTCGAAAGCTCAACGCCCATATGAAGGGATCGCCGCCGCCCTTCCTCCTCCTCCTCCTCCTCCTCCTCCTCCTCCTCCTCCTCCTCCTCCTCCTCCTCCTCCTCCTCCTCCTCCTCCTCCTCCTCCTCCTCACACTCCTCCTCACACTCCGCATCATCATGCTTCCCCCCGTCCGAAGGAGCTGAGGGTGAAGGAGGAAGGAACGAGGAGGGCGGAGAGGAGGGAGGGAGAGATTGGGGACGAGAAGGCGATGAAAAAGAGGGAGGACGAGAAGGGAGAGGGAGGGTAGACGAGGAAACTGCGAGGTAGGACGAGGGCGAGCGACGACGAAGACGACGACGAGGACGAGGAGGGGGCGGAGGCCCGGGGAGGCGGAGAAACAAGAGACGTGAACGCTGCTTAGCGGACCATGACGAAGACGAGGGCGACGGGGTGAACCCTGAGATCTGAACTTGCGAGAGGAACAACAACAACAACAACAACAACAACAACAACAACAACAACAACAACAACAACAACAACAACAACAACAACAACGACAACAACAACAACAACAACAACAACAACAAAAAAGAAATCGCCTGGACCTCATTCTTCTGCTGCATCTTTCGAGCCAGACCGACCTATGATGGTCCGGGGGCTCGAAAACAGGCGAAAGACGCCCGCGCACTGCTCGAATCTCAGGGGAGCCGCTGCCACTGGCACGCCCAGACACCCGATGTCTCGAGTCTCACATCACGGGGCCCCTGGAAGTCTGGACTTTTTCCCTAGGGCCAGCTCCCGATCCTGATCCTTCCGCACTGCGTTCCTCAAGACGTCGCCACCGCCACGCCTCCCAGGCAAAAGTCACACCCCAGAACTGTCCTGAGGCGCGTTGTGACCGGAATGTCGGGGCGGCTCCAGACGTGGCGACGAGAAGCCCCCCCCCCCCGAAGCCCCAAGCAAGAAGAACCCTCAAACACATGCAACCCAAAGAGAACCCGAGCGGAGCCGCGGCCCCGGAAAATTGCAACGCCCGGATCCACGGGCTGGGCCCAGCCTGCTGCCGCGAAAATGGAGCAACAGCGGCGAGCAGCAGCCGCGGCGGAGAGGCCCCGAAAATGAAAACACCCAGAAAGATGTCGACCAAAACCCCCGCGCAGCCCCGGCCAGCTCACCGCGGAGGACGGCGACTTCGGCGGCATCGCCAGGCGGCCCAGCAGCGTCGTCGGCGCGCCGCTCCGCGACCGGAGGCCTCGCGGCGGGAAGCGGCTCGGCTCGGGCTGGAGCCGGGCATGGGACCCGGGCTCCGCGGGCACGCTGTCCAGCGCGGAGGTCCCAGCCCAGACGTGCTCGCCGCGTCGTGGCCAAAAAACACGCCGGGAGGTGCCTGGCCGTGGTCGCCCTCCCCGCGCCCACGCCAGGCTTCGGGCCCGTCGGAAAACAGCTCGACCCGAAACCAGCTCGGCACATCAGTTGCGCAAAGGTCGGGATCTCTGGGGACCGCGCCCACAAACCTCCCAGACCCCCCATTTACAAAGTGGCGAGGGGTAATGAGACTCCTGGGCCCCCCCCCGCCCAAAAAAAAACCACAGGGGTAGACCCTCCTGGCCTCGGCATCACCAAGCCACGGAAGCTCTTTCCTTGGAGCCCCCCACACCACAATTTCGTGCCCAAAACTGACCCACGCCCCCCTCCTGGCCCTCCTTCTCGCCTCGGCATCCCCAAACCACGGAAGCTCTGTTCACAGACTTCCCACCCCGCAATTTCGTGCCCAGCACTGACCCACACACCCCTCCTGCCCCCCCTCGCTTCGGCATCCCTAAACCACGGAAATCTATTATTGGGACCCCCCCCCCGCAATTTCGTGCCCAGAACCGACACGCGCCCCCCACCTGGCCTCGGCATCTCCAACCCACGGAAGCTAAGTTCTTGGGACCCCCCACCCCGCAATTTCGTCCCAGAACCGACCCACGCCC